ACAAGGTGTTCTTTCAGTAGCTTCAGTGAGGGTTTCATTTTCTGTGCTTCATTTGATGGGAGAGAAAGGGAGGGAGGGACAGCCATGCGGGAGCTCCATTAGGACCCCCAGTGATCCCTGCCCCAATGTACGGAATCCACTCAGCAGTGACTGGAGTCATGCCTTCACCTCAGCTCTATGTTATCCTCCCAGGAATGTGAAGACACTGGAATCTTGGCCTTCTCTTTAAAGATCTTACCATCCATCAGAAACTGGATGGTAAGATAAAAACTGGGCTTTGAGAACACTCTTCTCTGAAGAGTGAGGTCCTAAAAGCATCCTTTAGGATACAATTACAGAGATGGTGTCTCTGGGTATTTAGGGAAGACCTTGAGGAATCAAGAACACCAAAGGCACTCTTTTGAAGATAGAAACACTAGCGCTTAAGGGCTGTGCTAACATAAATTCTTATATCCCTAGATATAAGAATTGGGGAAACCAATGGCCTTGGGGAAACCAACCCATCAATCTCTGTTCCGTCTCAACTCACACACGGTGGGGAGTGGGAAGAATTTTTAAAATGATGTTTCTCTATTTTTTGTACTGATTTCTTTCTTTGCATTTCCATTTGGTAACCCAGGGGCAGCAGACCATTTTCACATACAGTTGAACTAACTGTCCCTGGCAACATCCAGGGTTGTTTTACAAAATCTCTTGAGAGATACTGAGGGTTTAGGCACAGGAAGGGTTCCAAACACTAAGACTCCAAAAGGATCAAGGGTCCCCAAGGAGAAATACAAGGCGCAGAGTCATGAATGGGGCATGTGTCTGAAGGGGGCTGTGGACAAGCTGGTGGTACTTTGGCCCCTCGAGTAGGCTCCTAGCATTTACACGGGATTTGAAGAAGGGCCAGTAAAACATTCATCAAGATGGATTTGGCATTTTGGTGTGAGACTGTGAGATGGGGGCGTTTTCTTTTGCAAACACCGTGCAGGTGCGCACAGTACCTGTACGTTCCCAGTAGGAGTGCAGATGAGGGCAGGTATCTTTGCAAAGCTAATGCTCTTTGTCCTTGAACCCTTGGGAGTAGCAACTTCATATGAGGAACTGAAAAGCATCTATATATATAAAAGCCTAAGCGACTGTTATGACTGGATGACTGGCTGGTAGCTATGATGCACACTGACCACCAGGGGGCAGACAATCAACGTAGGAGCTGCCCCCTGGTGGTCAGTGTGCTCCCATAGCCAATCTCCCGTGGTCCCTCCCCCAGCCGGCCAACTTCCCGTGTGAGATGGCCCTGATTGGCCCAATTGCTGGCCAGGCCAAGGGACCCCACCCGTGCACAAATTTGTGCACCAGGCCTCTAGTGCTATCATAATAGGTGGAAAACTACTTCTCAGGCTCAGTGGCGATGCAGAGAGGTAGCTGGGAGGGCCTCACCCCTCTCTTCCTGTTGGATATGGACAGCTGACATTTTCTCCCTCTGACATGAAGTGCTAGGCAGACAACCTTAGGGGCAAGTCCCTGCCACCTCCATCCTTCTAGTTTCTGTGCATCAAATTTAATGAGCCATTCCTGGTAAAACGGTGTTGACATTTCTGCCTCCCCTTTCCACATATAAGGTGGTCACCACTGGAAATGCATATTCGAAGGCAGCTTAGCTTATTGCACATAGTGACATGTATTATGATGGAGGACGCTTGGATTATTCAGAAACGTACGGAACAGACAGGTCAGTCCGGAGAGAGAAGATCCAATGAAGCCATCAGGGTCGCCAAAAGCGTTTCTAATGGGAGTGTGTGTAAGAATGATCCTGGATGAGACATGATCCACGCACAGAGGATGGGACAAAGCTGGCAGCCGCTCTCTCCCTTCCCTTCGGAGCCCTCGCTAAGGTGCAGCATACCTTGTTCTCTGAGGAACCTCACGCCTGCCCTAACTTGTTTAAAATAAGCATCCTTTGGAGCCATTTAGTGAGGAAAGATGAAGGTCTAGCTGCTAAGTGTCTGCAGCTTCGGTTTTGATTTGGCAGCAGCCCAGTGGCAGCTCTGATCCCCAAACCTGGAGTGCAGCTGCCTGGTGAGTCCCTGGGGATTCGTTTCTGCTCCAGGTGTCTCATCAGTTTGAATCTTGGATAGCTCATCTGGACCAGGGATCTGGAAAGACTTCATCTCCTTTACACTGAGCCACAGGTAGATTCTGATTATCCTGCTCCGCTCCCCTTGATCCAGCTTGTTTCCATAGCAGCTAAAAACCCCGGTAAAAAGGACGCCTGTGAGCCAGGCGCAGGAAGCATCCCCCGGGGAAATGAATCTACTTGATGGCCCCCCAACGGGAAGAGGAGTCTAAGGCACATCGGTGCGAACTTCAGGGAGATGAACGGAAGAGGGCTCCACTGTCAGAAGGAAGATGAAAGTAATTGTGTGGAGAAGAGAAAGAGGGGGGAAGAAAAACATGTGGGGAAAAAATGAAATGAAAGCGGAAACATGTGGGAGGCTGAGAGAGAAAGGAAAGCAAAGGACAAAAGGAAAAAGCATCAAAGGGCAAGACAAAAGGAGAAGAGGCCCAGCGGAGAAGGGAGGAAGGAGGACATGAGAAAAGGCCTCACACAGGAGACAGAGGGAGACCTGCGAGAGGGAGGCCACAGGGCCTCTGCCTGACAGAGGGCGAAGCACGTCTACCTGGGATGATAAAGGCCCTGCAGAGTCGCAGGCCCAGCGGCCCTGGCATCCAGGAGCCCTGGGGACTCAGCATTAGGCAGCGCTGACTGGTGGGCACCACGGTCTTCGGAAGCCTGTCCATTGGGAGGGCCCCTGCTTCAGAGGTGCCAGGGCCACCTTTCATCAGTGATGATCTCACGCACGCCAGAGGCCTCCCCCCGGATTGTGGGCCTGTCCTCACTTAACGTCGTTTCACATCCATCAAGAGACTGACAGACACGGGAAGCTCTTTGATGCCTTTGCTCATGGGGTAGAGTCAGGAATGCTGGCCTGGGGCAGCTCCTGGGAACTCAGGCCCAACACTGAAAATCTCATGGTTTCTCCGAAGACCTCTAGCAGGGCCAAGTGTCCATGTCTACTAGTAAGAAAGGGGATTTGGTATTTGAGGCCCCCTCACAGCTCTGACAGGTATTTTAAAATGTCCCCAAGTGTAGTGGATGCTGAGGCGCTGCCACCTTTGGGAAGAGAGGATGTCTGCCCCAGGGGTTGTGTGCTGGTGGTAGACAGCACTCGCTCAGTGGCAGCTCTACGGGGACTGTGTCCTGTGAAGAGATGCCTGGCCCAGGTCACAGCCTTTCTGCAGACAGCCCAGCTTCAGCGACGGACTGCTGTGCCAGCCCCCTCACCTCAAATAAAGAACCTGTCTGAAGGGTTACCCCAGCTTCAGAACCCCCCATCCTGTCAGCTGAGATATTCCAAGTGACTGCAGTGCAACTCAACTTCTCCAACTGCCCAACCCTCTTTCTTTTTTTTTCCTTCTACAGAGGTTGGTTCCAAGAGTATCTTGAATAAAAGTCTTACATGTTTTTGGGGGACCTGGCCTGCAACATTGAGCAAACAACTACCACTACAGTTCCTTTTACATCCTTATTACTCAGCAATGCATATACCTTCATGCATACATCCATATGTGTACGTTCACAATAACCAATGAAATTAAGGCTCTTTATTCATGTCCCTGCTCAAAGTCACCTTCTCAAAGGCCTTCCCTGACCAAACCTCTTTTCTTTTAGTCAATATATACGGTTCTATTTTCTCATCCTTATCACCACCTGGTGTCTTGTATATTCCTTTTATGGTCATTTTCCTCATGAGAATGTGATCTTGTTTGGGTTTATTGCTATATCCCCCATGCTGAGACGTGTGCCTAGATTATTGCCAGCATTCAAGAGATATTGAAGAACAAATAAAATAATTTAATGTACCGTGAATAAAAGCCAGCTTAATGATAAATGGCATCTACTTAGATTCTAAATGTTTAATGTTCAAGCCATGAAAGCACAAAACACCACTTAGTCTGGTCTGGTCTATACAACATCTAAGCATTAAGACAAAGTACATTTTGCAATTTGGTCATCTTGGATTAATCACAGTAAAACAACAACAAGGCTACAAAACAACGGAATAGAGACCGGATATCTGGCAATGCCGAACAAGCCCCGATTTGGAAATTGTGCATTTAGGAATGTGGCCGTTCGGAGCTCTCATTTATTTTGTGTTTGTGTTTTCTTTCTCTTAAAACAACCAGCTGAATAATGCCATGAAAGCGAATTGTCCACCATCAAATATGGCCAATGACATTCTCCCAGAACATCTTACCCCCACTTCATCCACCACCAGCTGGGACGCAGTTCCCAGGGATTGGAGAGGAGCTCAAATATGGCCGCTGAAACCTTAGAGCAGGGGTCCTCAAACTACAGCCCGTGGGCCACATGCAAATACAAATATTGTATTTGTTCCTGTTTTGTTTTTTTACTTCAAAATAAGATATGTGCAGTGTGCATAGGAATTTGTTCATAGTTTTTTTAAAAACTATAGTCCGGCCCTCCAATGGTCTGAGCGACAGTGAACTGGCCCCCTGTTTAAAAAGTTTGAGGGCCAAAACCAGTTTGGCTCAGTGGATAGAGCGTCGGCCTGCGGACTGAAGGGTCCCGGGTTCGATTCCGGTCAAGGGCATGTACCTTGGTTGTGGGCACATCCCCAGTGGGAGATGTGCAGGAGACAGCTGATCGATGTTTCTCTCTCATCGATGTTTCTAACTCTCTATCTCTCTCCCTTCCTCTCTGTAAAAAATCAATAAAATATATTTTTTTAAAAAAAGTTTGAGGACCCCTGCCTTAAGAGGATAGGCCTGTCTTTTGGAGAACACCAAACCCTCACAGAGCCTCGAGCATTGTTATCAGGCTACCAACAACGAAGGACCCTTTGGATGAAGTCACCAGCACCATGACCTACTAGCTGTGGCCAGCAAGTCTCTCAGTTCCTTTCACGACACAAAGCACCAAACTGCTCTCTTACCTTTGGGGGAGATGTGTCTCCAGGTAACCGTGGGCTCTGGTCTGCCCGTTGCTATGCAGGTGAGGCTGATATTGTTTCCTTCATTAATGGAGATATCTGAAGAAATCTCTACAATTTTGGGAGATACTGTGGAGACAAAAGCCAGTGGAAGGAAAATAAATATCCTGTTGAAACATCTCTTTGTTGTCTCACAATAATAGCTGGCAGAATAGCTCGGGGACTGAAGTATAAGGGTGATGGGAACAAATGGAGAGAAATTAGAGGAATTATCTTAAACATAAAAGGAACATCTTACCTTGAATTTATTGTCTATTTCCTCCTGTCTAAACCCAAAGTCAGGAAGTACTGATGGGAATGGATTTCAATGCAACACGATTGTCCTCGCCTCCACCCTCTTCCTGTCTGCACTCTCACCCAAGTCCCCTCTGACACACATCCACAAGACATTCTCCACAGTGCATTCAGAGTTGATGGAATACAATTCTGAGCATATCACATCTCTGCCTAAACAACTCCAATTGTTCCTTATTGCCCAGCTGATCATATCCACCCACTTCGTCCTGGGATAGCAGGCTGTTCAGAATCAAGCATCAACCTGTTTCCATTGGTATTCCTGCTGATTCTATCTCATCTAATCCCCTTGTCACCCCCAACACATCATGCCCTTTCTGATCATTAAGCATTTGGGGGTCTATCTTGTTATTTATGTCCTTCCTAGAAAACTCCCAGTCATCCTTTAAAGTCTAAATCAAAAGCCACTTTGTTGCAGCTTTTCTCTTTTTTTAAATATATCTGTATTGACTTCAGAGAGGAAGGAAGAGGAAGAGAAAGATAGAAACATCAAGGATGAGAGAAACATTGATCGGCTGCCTCCTGCACACCCCACACTGGGGATCAAACCCACAACCTAGGCATTTGCCCTGACTGGGAATTGAAGTGTGATCTGGTTCATAGGTCGACACTCAACCACTGAGCCACACCGGCTGGGCAATGGTGCACCTTTTCTGACCCTTACACCTCTCTGCCCTCCTGCACGACTCTACATGCCAGCTGCTCCTCATCTGCCTACTCACAGCCTGATGGTGAATCAAAAAATGTCAACTAGCCAGACACACTTGGTCCCTTTCTCTCTCGGACCCCTAAAACAATTCCTCAAAGGAAGGGAGGGGTTCGTTTTAATTGGTAAATTTGGGAACAGGAACCCCACTCTGTTTGGGCTTTAGTTTTGGGGCCAGGCTCCCCGTAAGAAGCTATGTTCTGTTGTGGTCCTCCTAGTGCAGTGGACGGCAAACTGCTGCTCGCGAGCCACATGCGGCTCTTTGGCCCCTTGAGTGTGGCTCTTCCACAAAATACCGACTTCTGCGCATGGGCCACAAAGTTTCAATCACACTGTACATGCGTGCCCGCACGTGGTATTTTGTGGAAGAGCCACACTCAGGGGGCCACAGAGCCACCTGTGGCTCGCCAGCTGCAGTTTGCCGACCACTGTCCTAGTGCGTGTGTCACAGGCCAATGTCCTACAGGTGCGGGAGGGCCCACCGCACAGCCAACAGTTGCCTGTGTCCATCCGTCTCATCTGGGGTTCAGAATTAGGAGCTAATTGTTGCTACACATCTAAGCTTAATTCTCCAGTATCATCAAAACTAGTGAATGTGATTTTTGGTCCGTGTATGACTCTTCATTTGTCTGCCAAATGGTTTATAAAGTAAGAATGTCACTTGGCGCCTATCCCACTATGCAATGGTTATTGTCTTAGCATTTCTCATCCACTAGACCCGTGTTTGGCAAACTGCGGCTCGTGAGCCACATGCGGCTCTTTGGCCCCTTGTGTGTGGCTCTTCCTAAGCCTTAGGAGTACCCTAATTAAGTTAATAACAATGTACCTACCTATATAGTCTAAATTTAAAAAATCTGGTTCTCAAAAGAAATTTCAATCGTTGTACTGTTGATATTTGGCTCTGCTGACTAATGAGTTTACCGACCACTGCACTAGACCATGAGCTTTTTGATGGCCTGAGCCATGACTTATATTTATATCCGTAGTCAAAGCTCAACAGATATTTATAGGATGGGGATTATAATGGTTGTTCCAGCACCTTCCCAACCTGCTACATGTTTGTAACAACCTCAGAACCGGATCGTTAACACACACCATTTCAGTTCTACTGACAGTAGATCTGACTCATTAATTCTTCACAAATTAACTGGCCCCTCCATCCAGCTCTCTTAAGTTTCTTCATGTTGGTTTCTTTCCTTGAATAAACACCTGTCAAAGCCACCACAGCGGGCAATTCCAGGGCACATCATCCAACAGCATACAATGCCATCTGGCCTCCTGGAGATCCCGGGGAACTTGACCATCACCCCCAAGCCCTGTTCCAAGGCCAGAGTGCAACCCTCACATGGAGATGAGACGGTTGGGAATTTCAGGGCTCATCTTTCCTCTGTCTGAAGCATTAATCTAGCACCTTTTATTGCATTGGATTTCCTCCTTCACACAAAAGGGGATTATCAAGCAGATGTTCTCCCTTCGCCTTTGTTCCTCCTTCTCCTTAAAATATTCCCCCACTCTTTTCCACATGGCACACACTGGACAACTCATTAATAAGCACGAGTTGCAAATTATTTCCTTGTCCTCCTACCCTTGGTGCTGATTTTGATTCTTAGACTCTTCTCTCCTTCTCTCCAACTACTTATACCTATTGGAATTGTTCAAGGCCTGGTTGTGTTACCACACCTTCTATAAGGTCTTCTGCATGATCTCCAAAAGGGTGTGGCCTTTCCCTTACTATGGATTCCATAGCTTCTTCAAAGCATTTAAATTTACTCTCTTATGCTACGTTTTCTCATCTTTCTTCAATATGCTATGGATTATCAGAAGATGAGATATTGAGCAAGAGCCTTTCTCATTTAAAAAAAAAATCTGCTGTTCTGAATAGGGTGTCTTCCATAAAGTAAGGACCTTAATGATTTTTATTACTTGTTTAATCCTCACCTGAGGATATGTTTTCCATTGATTTTGGAGAGAGGAAGGAAGAGAGAAAAAGAGAGGGAAGGAGTGAGGGAGAGAGGAAGGGGAGAGAAAAAGAGGGAAGAAGTGAGGGAGAGAGGGAGGAGAGAGAGAAAGAGATGTCAATGTGACAGAGAAACAATGATTGGTTGCCTCCCATCAGTGCCCTGACCCGGGATCAAACCTGCAACCTAGGTATGTGCCCTGACCTGACTGGGAATTGAACCCATAACATTTTGGTGTATGGGACGATGCTCCAACCAACTGAGCCACCGAGCTAGGGCACCATTCATCATTTTTATGTTTAAATTCACATCATCTTCAGATAGAAATGCAGTGTGTGTGTGTGTGTGTGTGATTGCACACACATTCACCTGTACTCTCACAGGTATTTGGTGGGACAAAAACAATGGAGAATCAATATGGTGAGGGTTAAGGAGTGAGCACTGGCTCTTACAATCCAGGGCTTCTAAGACATCATGTTGCAACTAATGGCTACGTCACTTTAAAAGCTAGATTGAATCTTCCAAGACAGAATAATAATTGATGAGTTAAGGACAGAACACCCAATTTGCTGACTATCTGAAAGACCCACATTTCTAAATTCTCTTAGTTCTAACAGCATTTAAACTTGATGGAATTTATTCAGTGTTTTAACTGGAGTATTCAGTTCTCCAAGCACCACTCCACCGATCCATACATCCTCCTGACCCCTGCTCCTGCCCATCCTTGGCACCCACTGTCTTGCTCGCTTCTCAGAGGACAGGCTGCCTGCAGAGTGACGGTGGTGGCCTTGCAGGCAGTGCTTCCACTGTGCAGGTGAGTAATTTATGGATCTGGAAAGCACTCCGAGATGCTCTGCAAGGGATTAAGTCACGCCATGCGATAAAATAAAAAATGATGGACTTTGTGGACACGGGGTGATTTAGGGTTTGTAGTTGGAAGTGTGCTTAAAGTACATTTTAAGTGGAAATCAGGTCGAGTAATGAATTACTCTTGCTTTGGAAGGGCTTCCTGGAAGTTCATTTTCCTGGCTTCTTACATGATAGCTAATCTGCTAATCATACACTGGAGAACAATGGACAGTCCCCAAGTGGATCAGAAGGTGGTTTGGGCCAGCGCTGTCAGCAAAGTCAGTATATTAAATGAGACAATCGCATCCCATCCTTGGAAGAATCATCTAGAATTGTCTCCCTCCCCACTAGCACCTGGAAAGCATCCAACTCATGCACTAGAAGTTGGTGACATGCTGGCTGTCCTTTTAATCCTGCCTGGGAGTGTAACCTGAAGGTGGAAAATTTCCCCTGGGCAAGTTTCAGAGGCCGCCCAATCATGGCAATGGGCTGAGGTGGTTGACCAGAGATACACTCCCCACTCTCAAAACTAAAGCAGCAAAGTTCCTGAGATGCCAGGGGATTGGCAGTATCGCTTTCTAGGTGGCAACTTCTAACACATTGTCAGTATTTAAAATTACATGGAGTTAATAGGATGTACCGTGGTTTTAGCTAATCCATATTCATAAAGAAGTTTTGGCTAACTGAGAATGGTTTTCTTATACCTTTTAATCATGCGGGCTCTTAACATATCAGGATGGCTTTGTTTGTTTTTGTTAATTTACTCATTTGCCCCTTCCTTCCTTCCTTCCTTCCTTCCTTCCTTCCTTCCTTCCTTCCTTCCTTCCTTCTTTCCTTCCTTCCTTCATCAGTATCCATAGCATTGTTCATAGCACTGAGAACATAACCCTGAAAAGGACACAATCCTTATCCCCAAGGGGTTCCCAGTTTAGCAACGTAAAAACAGGTACACAGCAAACCCGTTCAATACATGCCAACATAGAGAGATGAATAAGATTGTCCAGGCAATACAGAGAGACACCTAAATCAGCCTGGAGACAGATGCCAGGGAAGGCTTCTGGGGTATGCGACACCTCAGCTAAGCCCTAGAAGATAAGCACAAGTTATTCTGGGAAGAAGAGGAGGCGAAACATGCTAGGCAAAGAAGATATCACCAAAAATCACCGGCATAATCATTAATGTAACAATACCCTCTACTGTAGGCTGGGCCAGAAGTCGTTCAGGAAACATTTAGTGAACACCTACTATAGACACAACTGTGT